GTTATTGGACATCACAGTAGATGTGAAGCCAAATGAAGCCCCCTATCAAAATTTTCTGGATGATGTCAAAGCCAAAGATGATGGATCACATGGATATAAGACGTCATACGAGGTACGAGACTTCTAATTGTTGAGGAATCTATGTTTCCTGCAACCTCCCATAATCTTGACGCTTTTTTTTCGTTCACCCATCTGACATCTTCACTAAAAGGAGGAAACTCAGTGAACCATTTCATTTCAGTCTTTGCCCCAAAGACACTTATTGGACCTTTTGTTATCTTGGCACCTAAACTTTACTGTTTTATATAGTTTTATTGAATTTTACACTTAGGGTAAAATTATGCATGGTTTTACCATCCTCTTTCAATTTCAATTATTCAGACTTGCTATTTGAGTCGAAGCTATTTGACTTATTTCATGTCTACCTCATAGCTTTGTAACTTTAGATAAACCGTAAAGAGAATTCTACTACTAGGTACTAAGCTTAAATTGAAATTTCTGTTTTCTCATTACAGCATTCTATCCACGCAGCTTTGTTAGCTGATGCTATCATAGTTTATGCTTTTGCTTTAAATGCTACAATCGCCAATAACTCGTCTCCACATGATGGTATAAGTGTGGCTAATCATCTGTTTGGTACTACTGTTCCAGGTAAGATCTCTTAAGGGCAATATGTATCAGGTAGATTTTCAATTCAAAGCAACTCATCGGATCACCTCGCAGTCGACTATCATAGTTTATGCTTTTGCTTTAAATGCTACAATCGCCAATAACTCGTCTCCACATGATGGTATAAGTGTGGCTAATCATCTGTTTGGTACTACTGTTCCAGGTAAGATCTCTTAAGGGCAATATGTATCAGGTAGATTTTCAATTCAAAGCAACTCAACGGATCCCCTCGCAGTCGACATGAGCGACGCACTGTACTCTTAATGTAATCTAATCTTGTAATTGGATCTTACCACGCTATCTTTTTAGGGATTTCTGGTGACATTAAGATCTTACAAGATGGTAGTCGGGATATGAATTTTTTACTACATAATATCAAAAACAACACTTACAGTATGATAGCAAGGAGTCAGTAAGTTGTCATTATATCTTTATATATCATAAAATTGAATGCACTGAATTTGAAATGAACATTGTCATTATAACGAGTCTCAGTGGTATCGGGTGTTCCGAAAGGTTACGATGTCGCAAGTTTTAGTGTCGATGTCCACCGATTTTGCGAAAAAAGGGGAATTAAACCCCATTATATCAGGAGCTGGTCACTTTAAAGTATTTCCATAAATTCTTGAAGCTGTCCTATACTGCACAGTTGGAGCTGCGATTTACGGGATGTGTTATAGTAAATCATACGACTTGGCTTAATACGATTATGTTTAGAA